TAACTTTACTTACAGCTCTATTAACATCACTTGAGTGACAGCATCAATGGGTTCCAAGTTCTAACTGAGATCTTCTACTGCAATAATGGCAGCCAAGTTTTAACCAGCCAGCATCTTCTGCTGCTACAATTGGGACCAAGTTCTAACCACCTAGCCATCCTATACTGCAACACTGGAGACCAAGTCCAGCCATCTTCTGCTGCAAAAATGGAGACCACATTCTAACTAGCCAGCCATCTTCTGCTGCAACATTGGAGACCACATTCTAACTAGCCAGCCATCTTCTGCTGCAACAATGGAGACCAAGTTCTAACCGCCCAGCCATCTTCTGCTGCAACATTGGAGACCAAGTTCTAACTAGCCAGCCATCTTGTACTGCAACATTGGAGACCAAGTTCTAACTAGCCAGCCATCTTCTGCTGCAACATTGGAGACCAAGTTCTAACTAGCCCAGCCATCTTCTGCTGCAACATTGGAGACCAAGTTCTAACTAGCCAGCCATCTTCTGCTGCAACAATGGAGACCAAGTTCTAACTAGCCAGCCATCTTGTACTGCAACATTGGAGACCAAGTTCTAACTAGCCAGCCATCTTCTGCTGCAACAATGGAGACCAAGTTCTAACTAGCCAGCCATCTTCTGCTGCAACATTGGAGACCAAGTTCTAACTAGCCAGCCATCTTGTACTGCAACATTGAAGACCAAGTTCTAACTAGCCAGCCATCTTGTACTGCAACATTGAAGACCAAGTTCTAACTAGCCAGCCATCTTGTACTGCAACATTGAAGACCAAGTTCTAACTAGCCAGCCATCTTGTACTGCAACAATGGAGACCAAGTTCTAACCGCCCAGCCATCTTCTGCTGCAACATTGGAGACCAAGTTCTAACTAGCCAGCCATCTTCTGCTGCAACATTGGAGACCAAGTTCTAACTAGCCAGCCATCTTCTGCTGCAACCATGGAAACCAAATTCTAACCACTTATATTGCAGTAGCAGTAACCAGACTGTTAACACCCAGCCACAGTCAAGATCCAACATAACTCCAAATTGTAACCCCCAACACTTCATGTCTTTAAATATGGTTCATCTTTTCCTTCTACTGGCATATTCTACTTGCATCAGCATCTTCCAATGGACAATGATACACACACAATCTGTAAGATGAGGTCCATCACAAAAAAATCCATATGTCTGGGGAAAAAACTCTGAGAGCCCCCAGTGAACACTATTGGTAAAGACTACTTTTAATCTACAGCCAGCTTTAGTCTGTGCCAATCTGGAAATCATAAACCCATCTAAAATCTAAGCTGAATAACAAACATATATCATCTAGAACAGTTGCTCTCAACCTTCCTAATGCCCGACCCTTTAATACATTTCCTCATGTTGTGGTGACCCCCACCATACAATTATTTTTGTTACTACTTCATAACTTCAATGAATATGTGTTTTCCGATGGTCTTAGGTGACCCTAGTGAAAGGGCTGTTCGACCCAAAAAAGGGTCGTGACCCACAGGCTGAGAACCGCTGATCTAGAATATTAAAAACCTATGAAAGTGCTACACCTGAAAAGATCTGACATAAAAGCAAGAAGCCACCCTAGAAGATGGACTGATGCCATTAAAGACCTACATTCCATCTTGCGAGAGGACAGTGTTGTATTATGCAATAAGAAGGCAGGGGTATCACAGCCCAAAGTGATGATGAACTCCACAGCCTAAAGTCTGGGCAGTATCATAAAGATTAAGTGTTGCCCATGTAGTATGATCCCTCACTCAACCTGCTTTGTTTACTCCAAAGTTAAGATAACACAAATACATCTGGAACAAAGCATGTTGTAAATGCTGCAGGATCAGAAGAGCAGTGCTCTGTCTGTCTGCCTGTCAAAGCTTCCATATCAGACCAATTGCTAACCAAGGCTTATGGCCTGATCTGCCCAGATTTAAGATTAAGTTTTCAGAGTGCATTTCCACCTTCTAGGATAAGGTTAGTATCCTACCCAATGTGCTCCTTCCCTCAAAGTCACTGGCATAATAAGGGATGTCAGGTTTGGTATATGCCACACATAAATCTACTCATATATTATCTCTTCATCATCTTCTTGGTCTGCTTCATGGTTTACTCCCATTCAACTCTTTTGTGTGCACAGTTTGTGTCTCTCTATTATTATCCTCCATTCTCTATTGCATTACCATTAGTGGATTACCAACTTGTCATATATTTAAATAATACTGCACCAACATATTATTCAAAAGCAACAGTAAAAAATATATGAGTCTTAAAGTGGCTTATATTAGGGGACAGAGTGCTTTTGTGGTCTGCTATCCACTTTTTTTAAACTCATAAAGTGCTGAATGCAGCTGTGGCTTGTACTTTTGCCCGCTGACTTGGTGGTCCTGTTTACAAGTTACAATTAAAAAATAAACAAATAAAAAAAAAAGATGTTTTTTTCCCCAGTATAAAGTGACGAGGCTCCTAGTCTGCCCTGCCTAAAATGGTTACCAGCAAATATTCTGGGAAGTAAGGTGGTCAGTAAAAAAGGAAAAGTGAGGTGAAGGACCCTTTTCCATGCCTTTAGGCTTATAGGGAATCTAGGACTAGACCTATATTTTATAGACCAATCGGCACAAGATGGGTGATGTGGTCAGCATCCTGCCGGCCACTTTTACTTCCCAGGACTGCACTCGGTACCCACTCAAGGCTGGGTGGACCTGGAAGCCACGGTCTTTTCAAGGGTGGTCAGTATCAATATTTATCACATCACCCACTTGCCAGTTGGCGTCAACTTCTTTTGTCAACAACTGCTTAGAGCTGCTAGGTGATGAACTTTAACAAATGATAAGCAGCTGAGGCAGATATGCTGTGAAATCTTAGACTGTCTGTGACCCTATCAATCTATGTTCTTACAGATCTCTCTCTGTCTTCTGTTTTTTCCATTTTCAGGTTTCATACTGTCACTGCCAGCATCATTGAATTCACTTTCACTAGACAGCCAAACCACTCAGCCTTTCTTTCTCAAAGAATTTAACGAGTTGGGTACTGTTCCAATAGTTCTTCGGTGGTGTCAACTACCAAATTTCAACTTAAAACATTGAGGATAATCATGACTAGAGATGCTGAGCTTGTTGCTTGTTTGCAGCCAATGACAGATGAAAAAGCTTGTTAGTTTTCAGTTGCCGTCTAGTACTACAGCTGCTGATACTTACAATATCTGTCTTGTTTATGTGGATAGCTGTGAGCATTAAACATAGCAGGTGGCTGCAGTTATGACAGATGGGGAAGATTTCTTCTGTTAAATAGGAATTTAATTCATTGTAATAACTGTTCTTTTTTGGAAGACAGGGCAGATTTATTCTGTTAAATTTTAATTTAACTGATTGTCAACTGTTCTTTTTCTGAAGATATGGAGATTTATTTAGTGAAATATTAATTTAACCGACTCTGACATGTCCCTTGTTGGAAGACTGGTCTTTGCTTTGAAAATTATAGTTTGCTAATTTCATTTTGTTGGACTGCATTATGTTAACATTTTTTTATTTTTTTTTTCAAAAAGAGGAAGTCAGTAAGGTACTAACAGACATTCAAAATATAAAGGAGACATGCACTGAAATTAATTAAATAATGTATTTAGATTTTTATTTATTTGTCAAGATAATCACTAGAACATTGGTACACTTAATAGCTCTACCTAAATATAAAAATCTTTGATATAAATGTACGCGCTCCAAGGACTACAGGAATGTTTTCTTCAGGTTATGCCAGTGTGTTATGAAATGAGCAGGCAGATAGACTGGCCGGTTCTGCACCAGTTGACAAGCTACATGTTGTGAGGGCCCTTTGGGAGTGAGTGAACAGTGCAGAGGCACAGATAGATCATTACGGTCTGAGAAGAATGGTGCTGTGAGGAGTTACCAGGGGATCTGGCCGACGCTCAATACTCAAGGCAAAGGCAAGATGGGTATACAATCAGAGAGTTAGTGGTGCCATCGGACAGGAATGCTCCACTAATCTCCTTTCTACACAGCTGTCTGTAAAAGATAACATAATACTACGTTTTTCTGCACACAGGTATCTTCTTTCTTCTTCACATTCACTGGCTGCAAACTCTGGAGGGAAGTTCTAGTTGTTCATCAATGTCTGATCTTGTTCCAGACTTGAGTTCTGTGTGCAAATTCATTTCACAGATCTGGCTTATTTGTATGCAGACTGTTGTTCTCTGCCTCTCAGGCAGATGAACTCCTATTTTGAAGGTGTCTCCTAATTAATCGACTCTTACAACGCGCTTGTTAGGGAGGCAGCGGGTTTATTCCCCCTCCAAAAAGAGGCATCGGAAGCCTAGATATGAATGCTGGATGATGAAAAATGAAATGTGAAGCAACTGATATGTGGTTTTCCAGACAAATGTTGACAACAACATGGACAGAGAAGAAAAATGCAGAGGCACTGAAAGCTATAAGATCCCTCTTCAAACCCAAAAATGACAAGATAAATAACATGTATGGGACACCACTAGAAAAGTTAGAATAGATTAATTCATCATCATCATCCCGTGACACTGCATGTTGTTGGGTCACCAGTTTCTGTTGACTGTCTGATCAGTTCTTTCCACCTTTGGCGGTCAGTTGTGATGGACTTCGTGGTTGCATGCCTGAGGCCTGTCCAGTCAGTCAGGTTCTGTGATCGTCTGTCTTGGTCTGCCTCTTCTCCTCTTTCCCTCTACTGAGCCCTGTAGTACTGTTCTTGAGAGGCCATTAGATCTTTTAACATAGCCAAACTATTGCATTTTTTTTGCCTTTTCACTGTAGTTAAAAAGGGGTTCATAGTTGCCAATGTGATTAATTATGTTAGAAGAAACAGGGACAAAAGAGGTAGATAAAAATAGACAAGCACATATGTGGAAAGCTTAAGTGGGTTGAAAAACATAATCTGCTTTTATCTAAAGAAACAAACATAAACTATTACATACATGACTAAAACATGTGAAAGCAGACAGCTGCGTACCTCTTTGTCCAAGAAAATTTCCCCTTTGAAGAATGGCTGGAATTCAGCGACGCCAAGGGTCTCATGTACAACAGCGTACAGAGGCACACCACGGGCATCAAGCTGGGGTTTGAGAGAGGACAGCCCTAGGGCTTCCTGCAAAATAAGCCCAATTCATTAGTGTCAACATAAAACATAATGACTTTCTCTCTTCTTCTTCTTTTCATTCTCCCAGCCAGTGGTTTTAAGATGAGGAGGCCACAGGCCTCTTTGAAGATTGAGGTGTGCCAAATGTCCTCTACTGATTTAAACAGAATGCTAACTGGTGACCAGCATCAAGTTTGCTGCATGTAAGAGCATGTCTGCAACACATGTTCAGTATGCTCTTGAACTTCTTGTACATTCGGCTGTGTATCTGTTGTGTCCAGTTTGCAATCTAAATACAACAGTCTGTTGCTTTCATGTGAGGAAGTCGATTGGGTCTTCAGGATTGTGTTCTTGGTGGACAATTATTTTGACATAACATTAAGCTCTTCAAAATGCATATCAACTGCAGAAAATTCTTCGCAAATGGAAACTGATGCCAAGACATCAAACTGCATGCTTGAGTTTCTCTTTGGCTTTTCATCTTCCATTAGAGCATAGGTCCTCAATTAAATCATGCCAAATCCTTCCTAGACATGTCCATGTTGTGAAAAAAGAAGACACAGACAACACATTGCACATATTTTGCTGTATCTCATCAGGTGCATACTACAGTAAAAACTGAACACAACAAATAAATGAACACTTCTAACTGAAACACACTGCCAGGCAATAAACAGTGCAATGTTTTGTTTGTGTCTTCTTTGTTCAAATTTACAACATGGAAACACTGCTTAGTTTATGACTGGTTGGATTTGGCAGCTGATGTTTATGGGATGATGTAGCCAGTATCATACCAACCCTCTCTAGATGTCGCTTCTCTGATAGGTTACACTGTTACTGTTCTCTGATTCTCTTATGGCCATGGTAACATACATGCAGAACATATTAACCAACAAACCTTTCTTTTTAGTGATCAAACCAATATGGGTCATATATATATATATATATATATATATATATATATATATATATATATATATATATATATATATATATATATATAAACTCTTTCTGGACATATCCTCATTTAGCAGGCGCAATAATCGGTAACATTTAGACATACTGCCACTGAAGTGGTTGCCGACATAGACACTCTAATATTGTTTAGTTTACTAGGAGAATGAAATACACGAATGAAAAACATTTTGTAACTGCTATATGGGGAGTCATGGTAGTATAGTGGCTAGACATGTGCCTGCCTAAAAAGAATATCAGGAAAGTTCCTAGGAAGTAAAGGAAACTTTGAAATGATCAACCCTCTCATTCCCTAATCAAGCGCCCCAAAAATATCAGGCTAGCACATACGCCAAGTAAGAAGATTATAAACTTCATCAAGAAGCTCCAGTAAAGGTCCCAAGCTTAAGAAGAATCTTAAGAGAAACAATGTTAATACGCATCTCATATTTGAAGCTGTTTCACTTAAGTATTGAAGTCAAATACAACAGACACAGCTTTTGTCGTAACAATATAAAGAAATGTTACCTCTCGACACAAAGGTCACCCTGGCCTACGGACTGCCATAATCACAGCACCATTTTTTTCCCACAATTCTGAAGCCTGAAATAATTACAGAAATACAAGCTATGAATTAGGGAATAGTGACACTACATAATCAAAAACCTTTATTACAACTTTTAAAACTAACTGATGACGATAATTGTGCTGATTATTTTATTAAAATATTTAATTTATAACCATGAATTTCATCAATACCTTTTTCACACACATTACAAAAATCTAGAAATTATTCCGCTATGTTAAATAGTATAATAAGAGAGAGAGAGAGAGAGAGAATAATAAGAGTACTGCACTACACTTGTCTTCTTCTTCTTCAGCATTCCGAGCCCTTGAGATTCGTTGCTGCAGATGTCACCCGCCTCCATTCATCTCTCTGGTTGGCCCTCTCTTTCCAGTTGGTGACACCAAGTGTTTGCAGGTCTGTTCGGATATTATCTCTCCAATATCTTCTTGGTCTGCCTCATGGTCTATGACCATTCATCTCCCTGGTGTATACAGTTTTTACTTCTCTGTCATCTGACATTCTTTCAATATGCCCCAACCATTTCAATCTATTAGCTCTCATGACGCCAGTGATCAGTGGTGATTTAAACAAATTATGAATTTTGTTATTGCTACTCACTCTCCATTCCCCGCTGTTTGCATCTTTGATGGGTCCAAAAATTCATTGTAAGACTGTTTTCGAAAACCTGTATTAAGGCTTCATCTCTTTTAGTTGCGCTCCAAGGCACTAAACTTATGGTCATTAAAATTAAGAGGCATGATTCTAAGAAGAATTTATCATCAATATAATCATCCAGACAATTCCAAACTCATCATTAGTAATTCTTTACATGTATTACTTTTATTTACTTTCATTTGCTACACTAAAGTTAAAAGTTAAAGTCAAGAGGATCAATTTCATTGCACCATGTTTTATCCCATATGGCTCGGTCTCTCTACAAAGTATAGCTAACCGCCTGCTGAGAGAGTCACACAAAGCACAAACTCTGTAGCTCCAGTAATTATCCCAGGGTTTCGGTAACAACTGCAGTCATGAACTGAATAATGCATCGGTAAAACAAACCCACAACCTTCAGAGTGGGAGGCAAACAGTTTGACCACTTCATTACGGAGACCCCCAACTCATTATATCTCAACAGTTAATTCAACTCCTCCTGCTCCATGTGGGTATCATATGAATAACGTAAGACACAGAGTATGTTAGCTTCAGTTTAGACAAATTAACTTTTAGACAGTCACACGGCAGAAGAGATTGGGTATACACCAAATAATATTGCCAAAGACAGCAGTGGGTGTAACCCATGCAGCCAACTTTCAATTTGGGATAGCAAAATTGTATTACATGTTTTAATATAAATTAACAATTGCTTCGGACAGAGCAAACTGAGGTGAAAACTACACTGGACTGAGAGAGTTAAAATAACTACAGTCGGATAGTTTGTTGTTCCTGAAAACTTGTGGTGGTTCAGGTGATGGGAATCCTTTTAATGTTGATCCTTAATGGTTGTTAAACCCAGATGTGTTTTTCCAATTCTGCAGATATTTCTGACATTTCAACTGAACTTTGAATCTCATACTTTGGTCAAAAAAGGACATTCATCTGATGTGTGAGCATGATGCTTTTCATTCTGCTGCCTACCCAAATTTATCTCTCTGACTGGCCTTCTCTTTCCATCTGGTGACTTCAAATGTTTGTAGGTCTGCATATATATATATATATATTATCTCTCAATCTTCTTGGTCTGCCTCCTGGTCTAATCCCATCTAACCCTTTTTGTGTATGCAGTTTTTGACTCTCTCTGTTATCTGGCATTCTCTCTATATGACCTAGCCATCATAGTCTACTAGCCCTCATGAGACTTACAGTAGCGAATCCTGCATGCACAAATTCCAGAAACCCCGCTGAACGACATAAAACAGTTATAATGAAGCACCTTTATGATTCTGAAGTAACCTGCTGTCCAATGTGTGTGGGTGGAATAATCAGGGCTTTTTTGTTTGTTTGCAGTACACAGTACCGGCACTTTCTTTAGGCATCATGTTTTTCAGCTTCCCTGTAACAGACACTCTGTGGTGACTAACAGACACTCTGTGGTGAGTGCTGGCACCTTTTCAAGACACTCTATGGTGAGTACTGGCAACTTTTCAAGGCACTCTATGATGAGTGCTGACACCTTTTCAAGACACTCTATGGTGAGTACTGGCAACTTTTCAAGGCACTCTATGATGAGTGCTGGCACCTTTTCAAGACACTCTATGGTGAGTACTGGCAACTTTTCAAGGCATGTTGTGGTGAAAACTGGCACCTTTGTAAGACACGCTGTGGTGAGTACTGGCACCTTTTTAAGACACTCTGCGGTGAGTACTGGCAAGTTTTTAAGACACGTTGTGGTGAGTACTGGCACCTTTTAAAGACATGTTGTGGTGAAAACTGGCACCTTTTCCAGATACGTTGTGGTGAGAACTAGCACCTTTTTAAGACACGTTGTGGTGAGAACTGGCACCCTTTGTTTTCTAGAAAAAAGCCCTTGGAATAATGTTAACACCATAAAGAAATGACAGTTTAATTTTATTAAGCTCTTCGAAGAAGAGATAGATTAGACAAATTAACCTTTTGTGCTGGAGGGAAAAAACAGACTAGGCAAGGGAGACTTGAGAAGACAAACAAATATGGACAGCTTAAACAGGGAGGCAACAAACAGTATAAGACAGTGATTTGCAAAATGTATGCCACGGCGCCTCGGGGAGCTGCAACCTCTTCACATGGGCGCCGCAAAATATTGTAAAAGCTTCATAATTAATTTAACCAAGACACCATCATACTTTTACTTAGGTTAGGGCGCCGTAGTTTGAGAAACACTGGTATAAGACAAGGCGTCAAATTTAGTGGTCTTCCAAACCCTAGGAGTCAGTGGAAAAATTAAAGGCGGATGGGTGATATCATTTACTAAATACCTTCAATTTTAGAATGCCATCTTTCAAGTGCAAGTTCTGTGGCTCCATTTCAGAGAACAACCACTGCCTCTTATAACAAGCATGTCATAGGAGGCTACTAATTAGCTATGTTTCCTTCAAAATCGGGCTGCTTGAGAGACAAGGAACCAACAGCCTACATACAAACAGATCTGTAGAACAGATGTGTATGTAAAACTCAAGTTCTGGATCAGGATCAAAGTCCAGAAGTGGATGAACAACCAGAATTTTCCACTAGAGTTTACAGCTAGTAAATGCTAAAAAAAGAAGAAGAAATGCAACACCCCCCCCCCCCCCCCCCCCCCCTTTCCCAACTTTTTTCAGTTTTAATATTTATTATGACAATTAAAAATATGTGATCAGTGACAGACCTTCAAAAAGAAGACAGGCCTATATGTTTCAACTAACTGGAAGCCACTGGTATGAGAAATACCAACTTCATTAAAACATTTGAAAAAAAAGAGAGCCGTGATAATCAACACCTGCTCCAGATCTGACAACAGAACATGTTAACCCCTATGACTTCACATTTCTTTGTGGTATTTTAACGAAGAAGCTGTTCCAAATATTTCAGCCATAAAACAAATGTGGATCAGCCAATAATTCACAATATTTAACAAATGATAACTGGACATTATATGAACTACATGCATACCTGGAACTCTCTTGGTTCACTATCAAATGTTTGAAGTCTTGCATTGGACAGGTAATCCAAGGTTGCATTTTCAGGTGACTTGACAAATGGGTTAGAGGGCAGATTACACAGGACAGCCACACCAGCCACAGCAGCAGCACCCACTGCTCCAACCAAAGACCATGTGCCCATGGCCTTCACAGACCTAGAAACAGAACAGTTTTGTAAACTTGCTGGCACATTTGAATTTCTTACTGGCGTGGTTTCTTAAATTCAAATGTGAGATTAGATACCTGGAGAAAATAGCCAACTTGATCAAGTAAAAAATGATACCATCAGACAGACTGTAGGAATAAAATTAGATAAGATCTCTTTTCATGCCTTTAGGCGTATCGAGTATATGGAAAGAGCCCCCCATATTTTTAAAGGTGGGTAATGTGGTCAGCATTATGCTGGCCGTCTTTACTTCCCCAGGTCAGCCATCCTGGTTTCCATTTTAGCTGGGTCGATCTTCGACGCCCCATACCATGATAAAAATTAAAAGCAGCCAGCAGAGGGGTTCGATTGCGGTACGTTGGAATTACAAGTTGGACTCACAACGCCTAAGCCACGGATGCCTAGGAATAAAATAGTACACCAAAATTATTGAGAAGCAGAAGACCAAAAGGTCTGGGCATCTCATTTTAATGCAGCCACAACAATACTAATACAGACGCTATACTTAAAAAGATTTGATGTTAGAGCAAGATGGCGTGGCTGGCCAAATTGTTTAGAATACTGAGCTTTCATTTGGTAACCCAGGTTTTAATTCTCATTATGGTGATGGATGTAATTATTGAAAAGAAAAGCGTATCACATTACTTAAAATCTTCATAACTTACACATCCTGTGCAAATACTGTGACAAAACAAGATCCCAAATGAAGAACTGGAGAGGGAAACAAAAATACATAACCTTGACAAACATTCTCAAAGGAAGAAGAGACAGAGATGGCTTGGACATGTTTGCAAAATGTCTCATGATACTTTGGCAAGGACAGATCTCTTATGGACTGCAGATGGGAAAAAGGATACTGCTCTCCTTTCAACTACGGCCGGTAGACAATAGTAAACGGCCGGTTAGTCGGAGTTCTGTCCTCTGGCTGCAGTGCTATTACGGACTGGACAGGAGGAAACGAAACAAATGACATAATTACTGTGTGTTGGCGACCCTGCTATAATCATACGGTTAGGGTTTGGGTTAAGGGTAGGGTTTGAGTTAGGTGTAGGGTGTGGGTTAGGTTTAGTGTTAGGGTGTGGGTTAGGGTTACAGGTAGTGTCGCCGCATCTCGTCGTCGCACAAACTCAAAGTAGCAACCCAAACCCTAACCCACACCCTAACCCAAACCGTATGATGACAGTAGGACACTGCACGCTGTCTATCGCCAACACACAGTAATTCTGTCACTTGTATCGTTCCCTCTAGTCCACTCCGTAATGCGTCGCAAGAAGCGGTAATTGATCGCGGTCACTAATTTGAGTCGCAGCGCGAGGTCTGCTAGGCATGTCGACCTCACTTTGTGGTCTGATTAGTGCCTTCTCCAGAACTTCAACTAACCGGCCGTCTACTGTTGTCTACGGGCCGTAGTTGAAAGGAGAGCCAAGGATACTTGACCTACGGTAACCAAGAGAAAGATAATAGAAAGAAATAAAAAAAAGTGAAAATTTACATGGGATTTTTGATTTCATGGGCAGAAAAGCAGCAGACTCAGCGATTGAGATCATGTGTGAATACCTTATGCGTCAACCACACGAGAGGTCATAGAGATGTACAACATGTGTTTTTCTTTTCTTGTTTCCACCAAGTGTCCTCTTTCAATTCCCAAAGTCAAGCATGTTTAAAAAAGATTGCCTAGAGTTGGTCAGAACTCAAATTCAAATACTCTTTAAAACCCATGCTGGAAAAGATGCATAGCAAACATTGTTTGTTGAAGATGATCTTCAAGATCAAAAGAGAAAAATTAATTTAGTTTTTAATTTTACAAGAGACGTTTGAATTTATTGCAATGTTAGTATGACAAATGAACTCAACAGTCAACTAACTACCAGCTTACTCCAACATGATGAATATGAAATCCATGCGTTTCTTCGATCCGCCGACTTCATCTACAACAAAAAAATAACAATTCAATTTCACCTTAGCTGTGAAGCAGATACGATTATCTTTCGTCCAGTATGTACCGCCCGCTGTCCTAAATAAATCATCACTCAACGGTCCAAAGATCGCGTCGACGACATTGATCGTTGTTTACAACTTGGATTTATTCCCCTTTAGGCGAAGGTCATCCCGAACCAGCAAGACCGGGTCGTCTGCGACAGCACTGGCGCCAGAACATAGGGGATCATGTCCCTGGAGGCCCCCCTCCCACAAGAATGTTTAGGGGCACTGAACCTTCCCCAATAACTGTGTAAGGGGTTAACAGGCCCTCTTTAACCATTGCAAGAATTTCTCTTTAAAGGTATTTGTTCCTAATTTCGTATTACTACATTTGAAATATAGTAACCTGCTTTTTTGCCATTCAGATTAATAATCATAAAATAAATTCATATAATTTTGTATATTCATTGTCAGTATTTCCGTCCCATTATGGAAAGCAATTTTTCGTAATTTTAAAACCTTAATACAGCTGACTGACTTTTTATCCCACCATCTT